TCAAAGAAAAAGAAAAGACTTTGAAAGTAGCAAAAGAAAAGTGATTTGTCTGTGAATTTCTCAGCATAAATGATCCAGGACCAGAAGTGACTGTGATGATATGTTCAAGGTGCTCATAAAAACAACAACAACAACAACAACAACAACACACACACACACACACAAACACTTGCCACACAAGCATATTACATCCAGCAAAACTACCCTTTAAAAATGAAAGATAATATTTTCTCAGGTAAACAAAAGTTGAGAGTTCATTACTGCTGGACTTGCCTTACAAGAAAGTCTAAAGGAAGTTCTTCAACTTGAAATGAAAGAATGCTGAACAGAAACATGAAAGTATAAAGCTCAATGGCAAAAGTAAACAGAGACAGGACTTGGTATCCATGGGAGATTTGTCCTAGGATCCCTGATAGATACCAAAATCCACGGATGCTCAAGTTGCTTACATAACATGACATAGTATTTGCATATATCCTATGTATATCCTTCTGTACACTTTAAATCATCTCTAGATTACTCATGATACCTAATAAAAGGCCTACATATCACTACATTGGCATAGATTCAACATAGTACTCAGCATGTGGAAAATTCAAATTTTGTTTTTTGAAACTTTGTGGAACTTTTTTTTCTGAATATTTCAATCTCAGGTTGGTTGAATTCAAATGCAGCAATCACCGATATGGAGTGCTGACCATATGTAGGAAAAATACACAATACACTAATACTGTAATAGTGGTGTGTAAATGACTTTTAATTCTGGTATAGAAATTTTTCAAAAAGTGTTAAAATACTTTATCTATAAATATACATTAGTGGGAACACAATACAAAAGGATATAATTTGTGAGGGAGTAAAAGTATAGTTTTGACACATGACCTGAAATCATTATCGGCTTAAAATAGATCATTTTAACTGTTTTATGTAAACCCCATGGTAAGCAAACAAACAAAAACACCTTAAAAGACACACAAAAGAAAATGAGAAAGAAATAAAGGTTATTACAAAAAAAAAAAAAAATCAGTGAAACAGAAAGGAATACTCACAAGAGCAAAGTAAAAAAGTGACAAAACAGAAAAGAAAAGAAATAGCAAAATAGCAAGAGTAAGTCTTTCTGTATTGATAATTACTCTAAACATAAATGGATTAAACTCCCAATCAAAGCTGGGAGTGTGGCTGAATGTACTGAGAGACAGAGACAGAGGAGGGGGGGGGGAGAGAGAGAGAGAGAGAGACACACACACACACACCCCTAAGTATATGCTGTATACAAGAGACTCACTTTAGGCCGGGCGCGGTGGCTCAAGCCTGTAATCCCAGCACTTTGGGAGGCCGAGACGGGTGGATCACGAGGTCAGGAGATCAAAACCATCCTGGCTAACACGGTGAAACCCCATCTCTACTAAAAAATACAAAAAACTAGCTGGGCGAGGTGGCGGGCGCCTGTAGTCCCAGCTACACAGGAGGCTGAGGCAGGAGAATGGTGTAAACCCAGGAGGCGGAGCTTGCAGTGAGCTGAGATCCGGCCACTGCACTCCAGCCTGGGCGACAGAGCGAGACTCCATCTCAAAAAAAAAAAAAACAAAAAAACAAAAAACCCAAGAGACTCACTTTAGATTTAAAGACACACACACTTGAATGTGAAATAATGGAAAAAATATTACATGCAATTGGTAATAAAAAGAGCAGAGGGGTAGTCATACTTATATTATACAAAATAAGTAAAAAACTGTCAAGAGAGAAAGAATGACATATAATGATGAGTCACTTCATCACAAAGGCATAACAATTATTAATACATATGCATCCATCATCACGGCACACAAATATATAGAGTAAACATTGACAGGACTGAAGGTAGAAATTAACAATAGTAGAATATTTCCTCACCCCACTCTCTATAATGTACAGAACTTCTAGGCAGAAGCACAGTAAAGAAACAGAGAACTTCAAAAACACAGTGGACCAAATATCCTAGCAGACATATACAGAACATTCCACTCAACAGCACGAGAATATATATTCTTCTGAAATGCACATGGAACATAATCTGAGATAGATAAAATTCCAAGTTACAAAACAAATCTTACCAAATTTAAGAAGACTAAAATAATGGCGAACATATTTTCCAATCACAAAGAAAGCGAAGTAGAAATTAATAGCAGAAGGAAAATGGAGACTTCACAAATATATGGAAATTAAGCAACATGATCCTGAACAATCAATGGGTCAAAAAAAAAAATCAAAAAGGAAATTGGACAATAATTTGAGACCAAAAATAACGGACACACAACATGCCAAAACTTTTGGAAGGAAACAAAAGCAGTACCAACAGGCAAGTTTATGGCAAGAAACACATTAACAAAGAAGGAAGATTTAAATAAACAACCTATTTTTACACCAGATAAAGAACAAAGTAATGCAAAGTTAGCAGAGGAAAGACACAATAAAGATTAGAGCAGAAATAAATGAAATAGAGAAATGAAAATCCAATTAAAGGTTAGACCAGAAATAAATGAAAAAAAACCTAAAAATTTCTTTTCAAAAGATGAACAAAATTGACAATCCTTTAGCTAGATTAAGAAAAAAATAGAGAACACTCAAATAAAAAAAATCAGAAATGACAGGAGGTATTGCAATTGATGCCACATAAACTAAAAGGATTCTAAGAAATTATTATGAACAATATACACCAACAAATTGGGAAACCTAGAAGAAAGGGATAAATTGCTAGAAACCTATAATCTACGAAGACTGAAGTATGGAGAGCTAGAAAATCTAAAAGGATCTATAATAATAAGTGCATTGAATCTGTAATGAAAACCCTTCCAACAAAGGGAAGTTTAGGACCAGATGGCTTCACCAATGAATTCTACCTAACAGTCAAACACTAATGCCAATCATTCTCAAACTCTTCCAAAAAATTGAAGAGAAGGGAACACTTCCAAACTCATTTTACACGGCCAGCATGACCCTGATATCAAAACCAGAAAACAGTACTATGAGAAAACTACTTGCCAATATCCATTATGGGCATAAATGCAAAAACTCTAAACAAAATGATGGCAAACTGAATTCAACAGTACATTAAAAAGATCATATACAATGACCAAGTGAGATGTATCCTTGGGATGTAAAGGTGGTTCAACTATGAAAATCAGTCAAAGTGATAAAACACATTAACAGATCAAAGGATAAAAATTACACGAACATCTCAATAGATGCCGGAAAGCGATGAAATTCAATATCCTTTAACGATAAAAAGCCCTCAAATGAGAAACAGTTTCAAATGATCTTATATGTAGAAAACCTAAAGATTCCCCAAAAGCCTATTAGAATAAACAAATTCAGCAAAGTTGCAGGATACAAAATCAACCATCAGTTCCATTTCTATACACTAGCAACGAACAATCTGAAAAGGAAATGAATAATACCACTTACAACAGCATCAAAAAGTAGTAGAAAAATACTTAAGAACTTGATCAAGAAGGCAAAAGACATATACACTGAAAACTATAAAACACTGCTGAAAGAAATTAAAGAAGACACAAATAAATGAAAAGACATTCCATGTTCAGGGATTCAAAGATTAAATGCTATTAAAATGTCCATACTGCCTACGGTGACCTACATATTCAATAAAATCCCTATGAATATCCCAGTGGGATTTTTTGCAGAAACAGAAAAAAAAATTATAAAATTTATACATAATCACAAGACTCTGAATAAGCCATAAACGATACTGAAAAAGACCAAAGCTGTAGGCCTCACATTCCTGATTTCAAAACATATTACCAAGCTACAATACCAAATCAATATGGTTCTGGCACAAAGACAGAAACATGCATAGACCAACAGAATGGAACACAGAGCTCAGATAAATTCAACACACATATAGGGGGAAGCTGGAACCCTTAAGTACTGTTGTTCAGATATAAAATGCTACATTGCTTTGGAAAACCATATGGAGTTTCTTCAAAGAACTGAAAACAGAACCATATGACCCCACAGTCCCACTTCTGGGTATTTATCCACAAGAAATGAAATCAGGACCTTGAAGAGATATTTGCACTCCATGTTCATTACGGCATTACTCACAATAGCCAAAAGGTGGAAACAATCTAAGTGTTCACTGAAGAATGAATAAAGAATATGTACTACAGTAGGCTTCCCTTATCTCTCCATGCGGGATGCGTTCTAAGACCCCCAGTGGACGCCTGAAATTTTGAATAGTCCCGGACCCTATATATAGACAACCCTTAAACAAAATGGGCTTGAACTGTATAGATCCACTAAAATGCGGATTGTTTTCCATCAAATGAGGACTGATAATACAGCACTTGTGGGGCATGAAACCCAAGTATGCAGAAGCCCGCTTTTCTTATATGTGGATTCTACAGGGCTGACTGCAGGACTTGAGTACGTGGGGACTTCGGTGTATAAGGGAGGTCCTGGAGCCGATCCCCTGTGTGCATGGAGGGATGACTGTATACTATGTTTTTCCTATACATATCTAAGATAAAATTTAATTTATAAATTAGTCACAGTAAGAGATTAACCACAATAACTAATAATAAAATAGAACAATGATAACAATATGCCCCCATCATTGTTCTCTGGGGGCTATTATTAAGTAAAATAAGGGTTACTTGAACACAAACACTGAGATAATTGGACAGCTGATTTCATCACAGAGATGTCTATTAAGTGACTAAAGGATAGGCGAATATAGGATGGCTACACCGGACAAAGGGATGATTCACATCTGGTCAAGATGGAGCAGGATTGAGAAAGATTTCATTATGCTACTGAGAACAGCATGCAATTTAAAATTTAAAATCGTTTATTTCTGGAATTCTCCACTGAATATTTTTTAACATTAGCAAACAAACTGCAGAAAGTGAAACCACAGATAAGGGAGACTACTGTATATACATATACTGGACCTCGTTTAATTACTTCATCAAATTTAGTGGATTTATCCACTTTGCTTTTACCTTTTGCAAGTAAAGAACTGTTCCCTTCAGTACAGCATAAAAGGTTTTCCATCCTCGTTTTCCTCTTGGAGCTAGAAAGGGGGAAAAATGTAAAAGTTTATTTGACATCAGCATTTTAGAAAGAGAATCTAAATGATCAACATGGTGACAGTGTTTCAATATTCTACCTAGCTACCAAAACTAATAACAATAAGAACTAAAATTTTCTGAGCCCTATGGTATACCAGGCAGCATTCTAAAATGTTTTCCATATACGATCTTAATATTTACAGTGATCCTACCAAGTTGGTACTATTTCTTTCTTCTTCTTACAAAACTGAAACACAGGGCAATAACTTGCTAATGGTCCCACAACGAGGAAGAGGAGAAGGCTGAAAGGCCAGGTAGCATGGCTGACTACAGACTGGGTAAGCACCGGAGGCATACTGGATATACACAGCAATCCAAGAGCAAGCTTAAAAAGCTCATGTACCAGAGTGCTTTATAGCTTCTTCAAAGATTCTAGGAATCATAAAGTAGTCTCAGAATATGAAAGGACTGCTTTTGGCATTTCTCCCACACCTCCCTCAACCAGACTGCAAGTTTAATTATTATTACTCCTATTGCAACCTGTGCATATCTCTACGGAGAATCTTGCTGTAATGTACTAATTCTGTCTAAATGTCTCTTTCACTAGACTATGAATGTCTTGATAGGAGGTATCCTTCATCTTTAGAGTTCACTAAACCTAGCACAGTGCAAGGCAGACATTATGACACAATCATAGAAATTCTCCAAATTAATTAATTCTTTCAGAAATCTTTAAATTTCTTCTGTTTATATTTTCCTGGATATAAAGTAGATTTTCTCTATTGTTTTACATAAACTCTTACAAATTGTCCTAAAGTAAAAAGTATTAGATTAGCAAAACAGTATAGGATTTATTATCTTAATAAAATTAAAATCTGTAACTGGAAAAAGTTATTGCCTGAATGTCATTTTTCAAAACATGTCTGCCAAAATAGACAGGGAGAGCCATTTACTCATGCTCTGTATCAAACACTTGGCTGTCTGTAGTCTGTCTTTAACTTGGATACCTGATTACATTAGAAAGCACATTATTGTTAACCAAATCCTTTAAATCTCTTTTGACTGAATACTCAAGAATTCTTAGACTTGGAACTAGGTGAATAGTCACTTACTTACAGAACACAGGCAATACTGCCAACACCATACTGAGATATCCACCTGGCAAGAAAGGAGTCAAAATATCCACCCTGCAGGTTTGCAAGGGAGATAATAAATATCATCCCTTCTGTCTTCACTAGGTGAGGCTTAAAGGTATACTAAAAATATATATAACCAAAAAAAAAAAAAAGATAACCACACAACATGTGTAATATAAATATTCACTACATTGTTCAACAGATGTGAAATTCTGATACTGCTCACATGAGCACTGTGCACACAGAAGGGACCAGGGCCGAGAGGGCTGTTGCAGAGCAGGACCCCAGGCGGCACGGTGTGCAGGAGGCACCTGACCTGAAAGCAGACCCACTGGTTTCCAGACCCTTCACAATCTCACCTGGTCTGAAATCTATCCTCCCCGCCACCAGCCCCTAACAAGTCACTCTACTGCGCTGTACTTCAGCTGTACTTTCACTTCGTTTTAAAATGTGGGTAATTCCTAGAACTTAAGGCAAAGCACTGGCTAATGCTGGCATGGAACCTAGAGAAAATCTTTTTGTTTTCAATAGAGGAGCCATAGGTCCTGAAGTATGAAGGCTTTCCCCGAGCCCTAAAGCTAATTTATTGGCATCTTGAGATCCCTTTAGTTCAAAAATCTATACATCTATGTTTCTACTTTTGCAGTAAATTTATGAATCCAAATACACGTTTACAAAATTTTAAACAGCTCTTTCTCATTACTACACTAAGTCTACTAGAAACAGATTCCAAAGAGCTCTCCAAGTGAAATGTGATTTTAAAAGTCACTCATGACTAATACTCACTAAGTCAGTTACTTAGTAACCGACTGACTTATTGTACTCACTTACTGTACTCTCTACTTTTCTATTTCCCACAGAAGTATACAACTTAACCTTATCTTTGGCCAGTTACAATTTAGTTATCTAACACATGGATGAAACAACCTATAATCCTCCCAAAAAGATAACTAGGGAGCAATTATTCACCAGTATTTAGCTGGTGTGCTATAAAAGCACTGCTCTAAGTGCTCTGACATGTATTAATCCATTTAACTCATACCATAATGATAAGAGTAAGGTACTATTGATATTTCCATCCTACATGAGACAGATGGGTGCCAACAAGCAGAATTCAGGGGGAGAAGGGACCACCGTGCACCGTGGGCTGGGAAGGCCCTCTAAAGCAGGTGCGACTGCTCTGATTTGACAACCACACATACAGTGCCGCTGTTGCCATCAGACGCTTGGGAAGGCTCTTCAGGTAAAACACAATGAGCTGGACATTAATGAATCACAAGCACTGGTCCTCATCATGAGGACTGTAGAAAGAGTTAAAGTGATTTCACAGCATGTGTGTTATTAAACACACAGAGCTCCGTAAAGAGTTGTGATTTCATATAATGAACTTGGTGAGCGGAAGAGTGAGCAGATTAACGACAGGAAACCTAATGTAGCAAGTGACAGGGTTTAACTACAAGGGCAGTGGGGAATCAATAGGCTGCCATCCTTTAATATCCAGGTATCTTCCATGAGAAAGTGTTTACTGAGTTTGATTAAAAGATACCATTTTACATGTGAGTCCATCTTTTCACTGCAGTTTTTACTATGCATGCTTAAGGTCCAAAGATAATCAATTGCTCTCCTTCTTGAAAATACGACAACCTTGTAGGATTTTGATTCCAATAATCTGCCTCTATCCTTACTTTAGCTTTTTTTTGGTGTTTGTTTTAGTGCTACTGAAACAGACATCATTGTTTCTCTATAACATGCTACTGTCAGTTTGATGTTTATCTTTATTGATCACTTCTTTCTGTACCTCAGATTGTTTTCTGGAGGCCGTTTTCAATTAATTCTTGAAGTCTACCCTTGGAAGTTCCTTTAGTGAGGAGGGTCTTCTGGTGGTCAATCTTCTTCTATTTTTGTTCGCATAATAAATGTCCTTATTTCATTAAAATTCTAAGTTGATAATTGCTTTTTCTTATGAAGATATTATTTCACTATCTTTTGGCTAACACTACTGTTGCAGTGCTGCTAGTGTTTAGATCTGTGTGCCCACCCAAATCTCATGTTCAACTGTAATCCCCAGTGTTGGAGGTGCAGCCTGGTGGGAGATAATTGGACCATGGGGGTGGTTTCTCATGAATGGTTTAGCGCCATCCCCTTCTCGTGACAATGAGTGAGTGAGCGCTCATGAGATCTGGTTGTTTAAAAGTGTGTAGCACCTCCCCCACTTTGCTTGCTCTTTCTCTGGCCATTTGAAGTGCTGTTCCCCCTTCACTTTCAGCCATGACTGTAAGTTTCCTGAGGCCTTCCCAGAAGCTGAACAGATGCCAACATCATGCTTCCTGTACAGCCTGCAGACCCATGAGCCAATTAAACCTCTTCTTACAAATTACCCAGTCTCAGGTTTTCTTTACAGCAGTTTGAAAATGGACTAATACAGAAAATGGGTACTGTGAAGTGAGGCATTGCTTATAAAGACACCTGAAAATATGAAAGCAACTTTGCAACTAGGTAACAATCAGAGGTTGGAAGAGTGTGGAGGGCTCAGAAGAATACAGGAAGATGAGTGAAAGTCTGGAACTTCCTAGAGACCAGATGAATGGTTATGACCAAAATGCTGGCAGTGATATGGACAGCAAAGGCAAGGCTAACAAGGACTCAGATGAAAATGAGGAACTTATTGAGAACTGGAGTACAAGTCACTTTTGTTATGACTTACCAAAGAACATGGCTTGCATTGTGCCCTTGCCCTTGGGATCTGTGTAACTTTGAACTTGAGAGTGATGATTTAGGGTACCTGGCAGAAGAAATTTCTAAGTAGGAAAAGTGCTCAAGATGTGGCCTGGCTGTTCCTAACACCCTATGCGCCTATGTGTGAGCAAAAAAATGACCTAAAACTGGAACTTATATTTAAAACAGAAGCAGAGCATACATGTTTGGAAAATTTGGAGCCTGGCCATGTGGTAGAAAAGAAAGGCCTATTTTCAGAAGAGGAATTCAAGCAGGTTGCAGAAATTTGCACAAATTAAAAAGGGTCCAAGTGATAACAGCCAAGACAATGGGGACATGGCCTTGAAGGTATTTCAGAGACCTTCACAGCAGCCCCTCTTGAGGCCTAGAAGGGAAGAATGGTTTCATGGGCCAGAGCCAGGACATTGCTGCCCTGTGAAGCCTTGGGACACTGCTCCTTGCATCCCAACCTCTCCAGGTTCAGCCACAGCTCAAAGGGGCCTGGGTACAGCTTGGGCTGCTGCTACAGAACATGTAGGTCATAAAGTTTGGTGGCTTCCACATGGCTTTGAGCCTGTGTCTACACAGAGGGCAAGAACTGAGGCCTGGGAGTCTCTGCCTAGATTTCACAGGATATGTGAAAAGTTTGGATGTATAGACTGTACAGATGTTTGGATGTACAGACTGCTGTAGTGGTGGAGCCCTGATAGAGAACTTTCTACTAGGGCAGTGTGGAGGGAAAATGTAGGGTTAAAGCCCTCACACAGAGTCCCCACTGGGGTGCTACCTACTGGAGCTGTGAGAAAAAGGCCACCATCCTCCAGACCCCAGAATGGTAAAGCCACTGACAGGTTGCACCATATGTCTGGAAAAGCTGCAGGCACTCAATGCCATCCCATGAGAGCAGCTGCAGGGGCTGAACCCTGCAAAGCCACAGAGGCAGAGCTGCCCAAGGTTGTGGAAGCCTACCCCTCATACCAGTGTGCCCTGGATGTCAGACATGGAGCCCAAGGACAATTTTTTGGAGCTTTAAAATTTAATGACTGGCCTTCTGGGTTTCAGACTTGTGTGGGGCCTGTAGCCCCTTTCTTTTGGCCCACATATCCCTTTTGGAAGACAAATATTTTCCCAATGTGTGTATCCCCATTGTA